TTTTCCACTGGAGTAAAGGCTTCGCTTAAAGGAAACCATTGGTGCTCTTCATGAGGTCTCTTTCAGGCATCAGTAACTTCTGTTCTATCAGCTTCCGATCTCTTTCATCTGCTTTCGAAATAAATCAGAACTCAAAAACCACTGAGCGATTTCACTATAGCACGGAACAATGCGCAAAAACGTCTTATCACATCAGCTAACCTGTTATACGCCACCAGTGATTTTCTTTCGCTCTGTATCACATTCTTATTTCTGTACGCCATTCTCCTTTTGAGGCGTGGAGCGTTGCTTGCTTACATGAGATCACCACCTCGTCAGGCTCGTCGTCGTCGTCACAAGTCTTTCACCGCCCGATCTGCCAGGAAAGCGCCCTATCCAGTACCTCAGTCTACCTCTGTTGTACTGTTTGTTAAAGCTTCTTTATGATTTCCTTCCCACCTCACGCATGGAACAATTCAAACAATTCACAAACGTTTGCTGTGTTTATGTGTTTTGCACCCAGTAGGTCCATGCAGTCGCCCAGGCCGCAATCTGTGTTCATGCCCATTGTCCAAGATAGAGCAAAGCGGACCCTTTCTGAAGGGCTTTAAAGCGGTGATGTAGTGTGAATTTTGCTGTGGATGTAGCAATAGCAGTAGTAGTAGCAGCAGCAGTAGCAGAAGTAAGCAAAGGCGTGGCTGCTAAGCAATATGTGAAATTCGCCACCGCCTCATGGAGTGAGGCTCCTACTGCAGCGTCATCAGTGAGGCCTGAACATTTTCGTTTCGAAGAAGCTGGATAAGGAGATTCTGAAGGACAGCGGCGCCGACAGCAGGCATAATCTCTCCTCGTTTTATCCTGTTTTTCCAATAAAATTCCAGAAAAAGAGAACTCATCAGCTCATTGATTGAGGAAACAAAGCCGGAAGAAGCAAAGCACGTATTGCGCCTGCCTTTTACTCTCTGAAGTTAACGTCGCTGCCGCCTGCTAAGGCCTAAAAAATTTTCACTGGAATGGAAACCCGGAATTCAGGAGAAGCTGAAGACAATAATGCGGCGGGCCCAAGCACAACTCTTGGCGCCACATACGATGCAGCCTCTGGTGGCTTGCCGGATTATCATCAAGTTGTGCCCACGCTCCGTTCCAACGTGCAACAAATGCGCAAATGCATATCCATAGATCTGCTATCGGCGAGTCAACGAGAAGCAAATTTCCTGCGAATGATCGATCGCAAAGCACCGATGCTTTATGAGCCAAGCGTGATCGAAAATGCAATCAGACGTTACGAATGCTTCTGGCTTCCGATGCAGGTGAGTGCCTTCCATAATTACTCCTCAGTAGTCAAAACCCTTTTTGCACTTTTACTCCGTGAGAGTGAAAATACTTATAAATGTTAGCAAGTGTCAACAGCAACCGCTCGCTGTCAGTGTTAACTGATGGTTCCCATTTCGAGAGTTGCTTAAAGATGGGTACTTGGCAGTACCAACTTATCATTGAAACAAATGAACAGATCATAGAGGAAATGACTGTCCCATTGGCAAGATCGGACCTTCGACCTTCAGCAAACGAAAACCTTAAATGCGGTTGATTCTGTTGGCACGTGATGCATCTGAGCGCTTCTGTCTCCTGTAGAGAAGTTTCGATTGTGGAAAGTCTTTTTGACGTTCAGAACTAAGAAACCCGGGAAGCAAATTACTGATGTTGGCAATCACGCTGCCTGTTATTGTGGAGGAGTATCTGATTTTCGAATCCGTTAACTATTTCAGCTAGCAGAGCTCAATGCGCAGTTGCATCTTAATAATATCGGTGGTCTCAACACTAACGAGCGTCAAGATTTTCATTAAAATTGAATGTTATCAAGCGTTTGAATGAAACGTTTCGTAAAGTTACAGTTTCTTGGCTTCTCGAATTGCTAAGTTCAAAGTGTGCGGCAAAATCCGAATACACACACACACACACACACACACACACACACACAAATATACACTGACAGAGACCGATGACCTCTGTTTAGTATGGGTTTTGCATTTCATGAGTTATGCAAAAATACATAAAAATAAGGTCGTGGTGGTCAGAATACTGTTATCCGTTCAAAATTTTTCATCTAAATTGCTTAAAAAGCAATAAGCCATAGAATAATAGCAGTTAAAGTAAAAAATGTAAGTGCATTATAGCAGTATTTTTGCAGTAGTTAAAGCAGCTGAGGCGGGGGAGGCAAACAATCTCTCCGAAGACAGCTGCTGGCTGATTAGCCTGATATGAGAGAGAGAAAACCAATTACTCAACTGACGTAGAAGCTATGTATCATCTATTTTTCAGTGCTCATTTTTCCGTACGAGGGAGCTAAAAGCACCCAGGTATGGCGTAAAAGCTTTAATGAGAAGACAAATTAGGTTTTTCCTGCTGAAAAGACCTTAAATTCAATTTGTTAGTGTATGTAGCGTAAAAAATAGTAAATGAAGCCAAGGAATGCATGCACTATTTCCCCAGTGCCTGCATCTTTCATACAGAGCCAATGCGGAGAGGATTTTTGACCATTTTCTGACGTTCACCCGTTGTAAGTACGACGAACAAAATGTCCCGCTTATCAGGTTTTATTTACGCAGCTTAAGACTGAGAGTCTCGCATAGCTGCACTCAACGTATGGGAACATCCCAGTTAAAGTTAACATCAGGCCCGCAGACCGATCATTCGAACTTTTTTGGTAATTTTGCTAATAACAGGATCATTCAGCTTACTGTTATAGCAAATCACGCGTATGTATAATGCAAAAGATGCATCGCTATGCTCATACAGTTGAACAAATTTTATTACTTGATGTATAAAGTACCAAGAATACCAAAACCATTCAGGCAATCATTTCGTGTGTTCCATATTAATAATGTTGCTGAGGTGCTCCCACATGCCGGACATAACGATTAAAAACCTTTTCATCCTCAACTGCATACCTCCGGTTAGTATCTACCGCCTGCTTAATGTGTATCACCTCTTCCTGAGTCGCCTGTATTTGCTTTCTCGCTAATACCGCTCAAAGTATTAAATTTTTATTTATAAATAGTTGAAAGCGACAAATACAAAGTGTAGCTGGTCGCGGCACTAAGTATGTTAAATAGCGCCTTTTTTTGTGAGAAATGTAACCGCATTGCAGTGCCAGTTTCTAATCATTAATTAGTTTCATGGAGCAATAAAGAAGCTAAATCTCCCCTTTCATTTTAGAAGAAAGTGCCGTAAAATTCTTTTTAAGAAAAGTTTAAAAAAAAGCAATTATATTAAACAAAACATCCTTGGGGTTCATTCCCATACCCGAAGTTTTGATATCTCATCTAAAGTGTTTTTTCCCGAGGTTGAAAGTTCCCAAATAGGGACCACTGGGTGTTGGAGATTTCGCGACTCCAGTAACGACTCAAAAAGACTTGTTGGAGATCCGCTATGACGGTTTCTCACGTTTCATCGTTAATGGAATCAGCAGTCTCTAAAAGCTATCCCGTCATTTGCTCGTGGCCTCACTCCTTTTCGTCTCTCGTACGGCTCCAGGCGTCTACGGCCACAGCTTACTTGGCTTCGTTTCGGTTTTGATTTGGTTCGATCACAACATCCCTTGGGTAGATTTGCCATTCTCGTTTGTATTGTCTCATTTTTTTGCGTAAGTTCGACAGTCATTTTGTATTGTGCCACATTCTTTTGTCTTTGAACAGTTTATGCGAGTAGTCTGCGTTCATGTTAGAAATACAGAGCTGTAAAGTACCGCACTCTTCCACATTTCGTTTTCTATGGATTTTCCGATACACGTATTTCACCAAACATTTGCTGTCAACAATTTGTTTTTTATGCTTTTTTTT